GAGAATATTATTAAGGTTAAAAATAGTTTTGGAAACTTATTTCTAATAAGCTTAGACCAGAAAAAATACTTGATCGAAAAGATGAAAGAGCTGCTAGAAGCACATGGCGTAAAAGTAGTGGTAGATGGAGTAGAAACAGAACCAAACAGGCTAAAAATATCTGAGCCACCACTCAACAACCAGCCACCATTAGAAGAACAAGCACCCCCACACCCAGCATCTGCAGAAAGAAAGATAGTTTCAGCTCTAAAGATTGTAGTGTCCGTGTCCTTAGTCGTTCTCTTTATAGTATCAACAATAGTCTTTGGCTACAGAATAGAGAACAGAATGAAAAGCACCAACAACTAGCCAATTAGCCACTATCATACAATGAATACTCTCCAAAGCACTACTAACTGTGCTTCCTTGAGCTACCTGACTCTAACCACCTGATCAGTCAACATCATGAATAAACTACACTTACTCTTACTCTTCATTCTTTCTCTACTGCCAATGAGTGCATCCATTCACCAATCACTGGCATCTTCATCTCTTCTCGCTCTCTCTCAACTCTCATCTACTTCATTTCTTCCCAAATGTAAAATAAAATAAACAAGTAAAACTCTGCAAACATGTATACTTTTATTTTCAGTATTATTTATTTATTCTATTTTCTCTGCTGTGCACTTAAATACTTCGCTCACTAGCACAGAACAAACAGCAGCACTTGCACCTAGGAGGAACACAAAGCAGCCCTCTCATTAGAGCATGCGCAGTGATTCATTGGTCTGTGCATACGCTAAATAGCCTATACCAGTGGCGGTGATCTGTGCGCTATGCTTATCTGGTCAATCAGACACTGTTGCTAGACTAATCACTGGACAGATAAACTGATCAACGGAACACTTGATTTAATGCATGGATGATCCAATAGACAGTAGAAATAATTAGTGCTCAGCAAACCAATTAAACGCTCTCATAAAACTATGCCAATGAACTGTGATAGCAGCACCAATCATATAGATTAAAAGTAATACTCAGCACTAAATACTCCTGTAACTAAAACTTTTATGACAGAAGTAAAAAAAGTTAAGCTAAATATAGATGTGATGGGAATGATGAAAGCATGCGAAACTCTTGTTAATGAGTGCAACAGTTATTTCAAATCTGGTATTTCAAATAACAGCATGATCCCAATAGACCATCTGTTTAAAGATAATATAACGCTAGAAAGCGACTCATATAACGATACAGAGAAGGAAATGCTCTTAGGCGTGCTTAAAAATAATGCATATCAATATTTTTCGCACAATGGGGGCGGTGTAGATGTTCTAGCCGAGCTGATCGATGCACTGAAGAATGGAAAGAATGAAAAAAATGATGAAGTTTCATCTAAATCTATCTCTCTGATCAACCAGTTTATAAAGCCAAATTCGCTGATATACAGGCCAGAGCTTGGCATTTATAGACAGGTGAACATGAATGAAGCACCAGAAGATATAAATCAGCCCAGTGGAAATATAGACCATATAGACCTAAGCGCCAGGACATACACGCTAGAGATTGATGATGCGAAGTTCTTGAGCTTGGCAGACATGCTTGATTACACTACAGAGAGCCGAAACAGAGAATTTCTCAGCTACACTGCCTCTGTAATGAAATCAGAATACATAAATATAAATATTTTGAAAGGATATTTGCCAAAAAACGAAAAATACTACACATTGGACGAGCTGTACGACAATAAACATGACAAAACTAGTGAGGCACTGGTGGATTACGGGCTCAAGCTTATCCAAGAAAACTATAAAGAAATTAAAAGTCTAATTAAAATAATTGAAGAGAAAAGTGATGACTCCTTTATTAGAGCGCTGCAAGATAAAAAGTTTAAAAGTATATTCAGCGCTGAAGGAGACTTAAAAATTGCTCTTTCTATAGCCGAGAACATAGGTATGATTTCAAACGAAAAAAACGCACACAAATGCATGGCCAGCGCAATAGAATACATGGTAGACAACAATGTTTCTCTCTTGAAAGAAAAAAAAGACGGGCCGAATGTTCTGATGATAGAAAATGATCTGTCCAACATTGCAAAAGACTACATACATGGGGATAACCTTTTAGAGGGCATGATAGATGCTAAAAAAACTGAGTTGGCTAAAACGAAAGGGGTTTTAAAAGACTCTGTTCAAGCAATAGAGCAAGAAAATAGCGAGGAAGGAGCTAACAATGTAAAGAGTGTCTCTAACAATCTGAAAAACCAAATATATTCACTAGAGTGCGATGAAAAAAAAGAAGAAACACAATCTCGTAACATTGGCGAGAATAAGTCTTACTTTTTCGG